TTAGGGGATCAATTTCTAAATTTTTTGGATACTTGGAATCAATCCTCAAATTGTTAGGATGGATCACAAATATTTTAAAAGTTGTAAATAATTCTCAAAATTTAAAAAAAAAACTTAAAAACTCATGCATAACGGTACGATAGTCTTCTCCCTTCTGTGTAGGTGTCAACTAGCAACATTAATGACCATTGGTCCCTCGTCCAGCTAGCAATTGCTTGGATGCTGTGATTTAGTGAGTTCTTGAGGATATTCTTTGTCTCTATTCAACTGTACCTTTGCCGTGTAAGTTGGAATTTCTTGTGTGTTTGACCTTGTGCATGCTTAGCAAAAAAAAAAACTAGCAACATTAATACTTTGTATGATCTCTCTCTCTCTCTCTTAGAAATTTCTTCTTCCCCCACTTTCTAATGCACAGGCCCCCTCATGCACGTACATACCCTATCCGCCTATAAATTCGTGGATAGGTACCACTTGGTATTAGTTTAGTTAATTTCATTGTCCATGATACCACATGGTATTTGTCCATTGGTCCGGATAGCTTGGATAAAGTTGAATTTGAACAAATCATATCTGCATTTGATTCAATTTTATCAAATATTTGTTAATGTTAATTCATCATATATTTGTATATGTTTATGTGATTCGAATTTGATTATAATAAGATCAGACATATATAACTCCAAATTTAAAAAATTAAAATACAGTTCAAGAGATTCAGAGTTGAATCTATATCTGTTTCATTAATATACCTACCATGCACAATCGCAAATATACACACATCCAATCTCACACATGCACAGGGTTTGGAGGGAGTGAAATTAGTAGTGTGCATGCCGAAGTATGTGTGTGAATTAAAAGAGAGAGAAGAAGCCTGAAAACCATTATACAAAATAAAGGATATAGAGAGATCGGTTTTCCAAAATAGTAAGTCACACACCATGAATTAGTGGAGACTCAATTATATATAGTGGGTTGTACTTGGTTTTTTGTGCGTAATACAACTGTGGTATTATGACATCTAACACGTAATAACACAGATTAACTATACAATCGTAACAATATACTATAACAAATTTGTTTTTTAGCGACAAATTTTGGCAACAAACAATAAAATTTGTTGTAGAAAAATGATTTTCAACGACAATTTTAAATGTTTGTGGTGGCAAATTTTTTTATAATATTTTTGGCAACCATGTTTTGTAGTTGTCGTTAATAGTCTTCGCAAAAACGTTCCCTTCAAAAAAAAATTGGCCCCAATGATGGCACTAAATGCTAATTTTATGGGCAACAAAAAAAATTGTCGCCAAAATAATTTTTCGGTTACAAAATTTTTGTAACATAACGAAAAATAAGAAAACAAAAATAATAATACTTAGCGATAATACATGTTTGTCGCTAAAAAAAAAGTTAAAATTTTTTTTCTTTGGTGACATTTTATATTTGGTCGCAGAATATCACTATAAGAAAAACGTTTTATTGCAACAATTTTTTGCGATGTGCAAGAAAAATTGTCACAAAAAAAAAGACATTCTACGACAAAATTACGTTTCGATGTCAAAAAGTATTATAATGATCTTCAATGATTAAAACACTATAGTGAATTTATTTTAATTTGTTACAAGAATAATAATAATCATAAAATGCCACTCTTTAGAAATGATTTTGTTTGGCGATGAATAGATCTGTCAACATTTGACACGACAAAATTAACTGACACAAATCGACACGAATTAAGTGAGTTTGAGTGAAATTTTAACGGATTGACCGATCAGATAGGTTTAATAAATGGGTTGTATTTTGGTAAGACCTGTCGAACCATTTATTACATGTTTACCAATTAAAATAAAATTAATATAATAATAAATTAATAATTATTTTAAAAATTTAGTCAGAAAAAAGATGTAAAGAAATTAATACAAAAGAAAAAGTAAAGTAATAGTTTAAAAACAAAAGGAGGGGGAGATTGAGAGATAGGGAGCAATTCAAAGACAAAAGTAAACCAATGTTTTTTATTTTTATCCCACATCGACAAATGAGATGAGATGGGGAGGGCTGACTTGTTTATAAAAGGTAGTGACCTCTTGCCTTTTTTTTTAGCCTTAAAGATTGATATTTATGTGAGATTTGACTAGAAATTCTTTTTTTTTAGGTAAGTACAACTGACAGTAAAAAAAATGGAATAAGAAAAGTAGAGTATCAAAATTTTTTGATATAATTTTTTTAAAATTAAATAGGTTAAACAAGTTCTGTCGTATTACCCGTTTATAGCGTCGAAAATATGTTTGTCATTAGTCACAAAAAATGTACCTTGATTTTCAACGACAAATATTATGTCATCACCAAAGAGAAAAAATATGACCATAATATAATTTCTTTCGACAACGAAGGTTTTTTTTATGACAAGTAGATGAATTTTTAAGCGACTAAGTTTTTTATCACTAATAATCTATTTTAACTACGATACTTTAGTTGGTTGTCAAAAACTTTCAGTAGCATGTCTGCCGCGACATATTGGCGACCAAGTTTTTTTGCCGTAGAAAATTTTTAGTGACAAATTATTCACTTTTAATGATGATTTTTTTGTTGCTAAAAAATATTTTTCTTGTAGTGATACTTCATAAATCTTGTGAACCTCGCTATTTCAATAATTGCATATTACCATCATATTCAATAACTAACTATCACATGGAGTTAAATGCAATTCACTAGTCCTATATGGTATTTTAAAATTGGTGATATCATGAGTTAATAATTATTGTTGCATCGAGTATTTACCAATATTATTGACAAAAATTGAAAAAAAAAATATTGAATAGGATTTGGATCCGATAGAAATATCAGTTGATGTCACCCACTGTGATGATTAGGGCTGTTAATCAAATTGAACTACTTAAGCTTGACTGAGTTCGACTCGGGTTCAACTTGTTCAGGCTCGGTTCGTTTTCTAAACAAATTCTTACTTAAACAAATTTTTAAGTTCGTTTAGAAAACAAGTCCTACAAATTCGGTTCAAACTTAATAAACTCGGCTTATTTATGTGCAAATATTCAGACTTGGTTCGGGTTCAGCTCGTTTTTCGAGCTGAACTTAAACAATTTTTATAACTCGATTAACAAACAAATTTTTTAAATTCGGATCGAACTCGACTTCGACACGTTCCTAGTCGAGATGGGTCAATAGCCATTGTTGTGAACCCTCCGAAAAGCCGTATTGGAGATAATGTCCAACTAGACTTGCAAGACTTTTCCAAGAAAAAGGCTTACAACACAGTTGCAATATAAATTAGTTCTTCGCATGCCAACACGAGAACTCCATAAAAAATATATTCCTCCTTGCCATCATCACCATGGCTGTGTCCAACTTCTGGAGCATACTCCCCCCGTCACCGAAGCCTCTCTATTCTCTTTTTATTCTAGCTTTATTGTTATTCACCATTTTTGTTCCTGCAACTCCATTATCTTTTAACTACTCTACTTTCACACCAGGTGATACTAATCGAACCATAACCATCACAGGGAATGCTTCTATCTCAGACCAAGGCATCCAACTCACCCCAGACCTCGACGCGAACAGCCTAGGGTCCGGTTGGAATGCCGGCCGAGCCACCTGTGTTGAACCTCTTCACCTTTGGGATGAGAAGTCCGGAAAACTATCGGACTTCGCTACCCATTTCTCTTTTGTCATCCGAAAAGCACAAAACAGTGATTTAGGTGAAGGGCTTGCGTTCTTCCTTGCTCCAAATGGTTCCAGTATGCCTCCTGATGCTGCCGGCGGTCGACTTGGTCTCCAAAGCCAAAACACGCCGGAGAAATATCCGTTTGTTGCAGTCGAGTTTGATACTTACCGTAATAATGTTTGGGAAGCCAACTTGCCCGTCAATCACGTAGGTATCCTACTCAACAACTCAATGGCTTCTGTTGCAAATGTAACTTGGGATTCTAATTTCGTGTATGAAAGAATACATGATGCTTGGATTAAGTATGATTCTGCCACAAAAAATCTGAGTGTTGCCGTCACCAGTTTTAATAATGATGGCACGGACCGAGGACGAGATGACGTTTATTACGTAGTTGATCTAAAGGATTACTTGCCACCATGGGTCACTTTTGGTTTCTCTGCCGGAACTGAAGCAGTCTTTGAAAAAAATAATATAAAGTCATGGCAGTTTAGTACCACCATTCGAAGAGGACTTAAAAAAGAGAGAGTAATAAAGGTGGGATTGATTGTCGGATCATGTGTTTTGGTTGGTGGTTTAGCTTTGATTGGCTTTTTTGGGCTGTGGAAGAAAACTAGCAAAGCAAGAAAAGGTGCTGAAGGTCCCATGGATGATGAACTCGAAAAGGGTAGTGGACCTAAGAAGTTTTCGTACAGGGAATTGGCTCGGGCAACAAAAAACTTCTCGGAAAGCGAGAAGCTTGGAGAGGGTGGGTTTGGTGAAGTTTACAAAGGTTTCTTGAAGGAATTGAATTCACTTGTTGCTATCAAGAGGATATCAAGGGGGTCCAAACAAGGGATAAACGAATATGCATCAGAAGTAAAGATCATTAGTCGATTGAGGCACAGAAACTTAGTGCAGCTCAAAGGCTGGTCCCATGAAAAGAGAGAACTCCTACTTGTTTATGAGTTCATGGCTAAAGGCAGCTTAGATATGCATCTCTTCAAAGAGAACACTGTGTTGGCATGGAATTTAAGGTACAAAATTGTCAAGGGCTTGGCCTCAGCATTGCTCTATCTACATGAAGAATGGGAACAATGTGTGATTCATAGGGATATAAAGCCAAGCAACGTTATGTTGGATTTAGATTTCAATGCGAAACTTGGAGATTTTGGATTAGCAAGGCTTGTAGACCATGAAAAGGGATCACCAACGACAGATTTGGCAGGTACTATGGGCTACATGGCAGTGGAATATGTCATAACCGGCAAGGCAAGCAAGGAATCTGATGTCTACAGCTTTGGAGTCGTGTGTTTGGAGATTGCATGTGGGAGAAAATCCACTGGTTTTATTTCCCAAGAAAGTCAGATTTCAATGGTTGAGTGGGTTTGGGAGCTTTATGGAACAGGAAAGGTTCTTGAAGCAGCAGACCAGAAGCTCTGTGGAGGCTTTGATGAGAAAGAAATGGAGTGTTTGCTGGTAGTTGGCCTCTGGTGTGCTCACCCAAATTATAATCTCCGGCCATCGACAAGGCAAGCTACTCTTGTCCTCAACTTTGAATCTCCACTGCCTGATCTTCCATCAAAGATGCCGCTCTGCCCCACAGTTTTTCGTCCCCCATCCACATCGAATATGTCTGAATCTGTCTTCTCTTCATCCGATGGCACCAGCACCACAGCCACCAGTGTTTCCAAGAGCAGCCAAATTCAAGTGGAAGTGACTCAACCAGAAGACACAAGAAGAGCTTACACTTACAACGCCTCTTCCTGGAAACCTTCTGCAGATATTACCCCATCTGGATCACTTTCGTACACAGCATAAAACTGATTCAGAGACTATCAGACAGTAAAAATTAAAAGGTGTTGATGTATTTCAGGTGCATTAGACATCTAAGATCCTACTTTGCTTTTGGAAAAAAAAAAAAAAACCATCTGGGAAGTCCAAAACAATGTCTCTCTCTCTCTCTGTTTGTTGTTTTTGGCAATAAATGGAAAGGACCCTTGTTTCTTTATGCTGTTGTGATATTATTTAAATTTGTCTACAAACATTTTTTTTGGTTTTTCATGGTTTGATTGGTGCTTAATTGTAAGGAAAGGGGAAGTTGTACCGGCAGAAGAAGTCCTGGAGGTAGCTAGACCAAGTCCATTACCAGATTGTCCAGCATACGGCATCTCAAGCACCAAGAGCCCAACAGTTATCTGTATATCTTTCATTAGTGTATATATCTATTTTTTTCATAAACATATAAATAAATAATGGTGCAGCATGAGTTAGGGCTCAAAGTAGCCCCTTTTCCACTTATGGTACAATTTTTTACTGATGAAAGTGGCTGCCGCATCCAAAACTTGCCGTTCCACTTGTGGTTCACAACAATAAAACGTGTTATGTTTATGTTCGTGTTCTGTCGGTATTTGTTTAACTTGCATTTTTTTGAATAACTTAAGAGTAAATATAGGATACACAGGTACTAAAAAACTAGACAATCTAATAAAATGGTAGTTCAAAATTATTAATGGAAGTGACCATGTGACACAAATGTGGTCTTTTCAATTATAAATTTTTATGGACTATTCCGAATTAAATTGTAAAATTTAATGATTAAAGTAAAACTACAGAAGGAATAAGAATTAAAGTGAAACAAAAACAATTAATTTATGATTAAATTTTGCAAAAACAAATACATGAGAGACTTTTATGGTATGTTTGGTTGGAGGAATGAAAAATAAGAGGTATAGAAAGAAAGAATGAATGCATTTTCAATCATTTGATAAAGGAAAGATGTTTTTCCCACTTCTTGTTTGGTAAGAACGTGGAAAAGTAAAAAAAATAATTTTTTTATTGAATTATACATATGATAAAAAATTAAAATTAAAATATAATTTACGTGACTACCCTTGTAATTGTATAAAATTATGGAGTTAAAAATATCCTAACGTCCCACCACATTTCTGGTCTGCTTTTAAAAAACCTAAGAAGTGTCCGTGTGGACCCCTCGTTCTAATCACTTTCCATCACTTCAAGGGGCATTACGGTAAATCCATGTATTGCCTAACTTTTTCAGCCATTTTCCGCCCAAATTTGGCCGTATTAAAAATGGTGGGCGGGAGGAATCCTCTTTCCATCACATTTTCCCTTCTTCTCTATTTTACTTCTCAACCAACCAAAGAAAAATTTCTCTTTCCCCTCCACTGTCCAGCCATCCAATTTTACCTCATACCAGACAAGGGGGTTAACCTACGACTTGACTACGGTACTAACAAAAAAAGTTCAGTACCATATCTCTAAATTTACTATTTTAAAGGATAATTTTATAATTTTTGTAGGTTATTTTACAATAAAAAAATTTATTATTTTTGTGACTATATTTATCACTGTTGTAGATGTTATTACCTATGTTATGAGAGCTATTTTTACTATTTTTTTGGGTACAAAATTTTTTTATCACTTTTATAAATATTTTTATCACTGTTGTGGTAATTATTTTTATCATTTTTTTCGGTACTTTAACAATGATAAAAACATTCACAACGGCTGAAAAAATATCAACAAATATAGTAAATTTCATGATGGTTCTGAAATTTTATTTTTCGATACCTTATACAACTCCCTTAACCTAGTAGGGCCCTATTTTGCTGGTTTTGGGGTGATATAATATCTTCTATCTTTAGTTGAGGTAGTTTGATTGTTTAATAGATTGTACAATTATATATTAATTATGATTTTGATTGTAAAATTTAAAATATTTGATATTATATTTTTTATTAGAGTATTTTTTATCTAAATATAACATTTTAAATTTGAGAGGTTTAAATATTACACGAATATAAATTTTTGAGGGTTTAGGTGTAATTTATTAACATATATTCTAATGCACCATAGGGTCTAAGTGTTATGCGAATACAAATTTTAGAGGGTCTAAATATAATATTTTAAATATAAGAGAGTTTAAGTGATTAACTAATAAATTTTAGAGGATATAAATATAATTTTTCCAAAAAACTTTTTACCACCATGGTCGGTTTGAGGTCAAACTCACCCTTGAATTTGGTGAAGCTCTGATATATGGGTTTGAGGGGAATTGTTTATTGCGGGTCAGAATTTAAATTCCGGGTCTGAGAACTACATCTAAATATGGATTATGGTAGTGGATATGTAGAGTAGATAGATCATATTTATCGCATATTATTGTTCTTCAACATCACATAACTATTTTTAAGAGAACCTATTGTACCTACGTCAGATTGAAGTTAATGTCTCGTCATCATGTATTTTTAATATTAAAAATTAGATTTAGTCTTACTGAATTGTTCTAACTATGGCACACTGTACTATTGGAAAGTCCACCAGGTCAAGCTGTCTTGATTTGAATATTCTTTTAATATTTAAATAACATCCAAAGACACGGTGCACTTTCTTTGACCGGATCGGGCACGCAACATTATCTTCTATGCGGCAAAAGGGTTTTCTTGAAGAATATAACTTCGGTGCGGTTTGGTTGCCAATAAATTAAATTTTTTATTAATAATTTGAATTCGAATTTGATATTTTATATTTTTATGGATTCGAATTATGATATACTTATATTCAATTTGATTATGATATAATTCAATCCGAATTATTTATATATTTTTATATAAATTTTAAAGAAACGTAGTTGAAATTTAGGTTTAATTTATTAAAATTTTGTTAATTAAGTTATTTGAAGCATATCAAAATTTTAAATTGTTAATAGAATTAGATATGAATCACGAAAATAAAATTTATCGAATTATCGGATTCGAATTAGACTTTTGAAATCGAATTTAGATTTAGATCAGTCAAAATTTGATCCGTTAACAGGCCTATGTGCGATATTAAAAAAATAAATTTATCGTATTGAGTTTTTAGGTGATTATAAGTTTCAAATATGTGTACTGGGCTGGTTGTGTTATATTCTCCTATTTTTTAATCACTTGATATTAAAGTTGAAGGATTGGTGTGCGGATTCCAACACCTAGGGGTGTTAGCTTTGACTTGTTGACACGAGTAAATATAAAATTGAAACGATTATTAAATACGCATAATAAATAGTTTAGACTAATGTTTAATATTCAGAATCTATTAAATAGATTTTTTTTGTGAGTGTTGATACGAACACGACATTATTGACCCCCAACACCCATAGAAAAGGAGAGATCCGGTGTTTTCCTTACCAAGTCATTAGTAAAAGATGGTAATTCGTTCTTAGAGGTGACAATTTAATGACCGGATTTCAATCTCAACCTCTCTCTCTCTTTAGTTGTATTCAAATAACTTCCCCAAAGAACTTTCCGTTAGAAAAATAAAACTTTTCAACATAGTAATGAAAAAATGCAACATAGTAATGAAACTTAAAGACATTTAAGATAAACTAAATGAGTTGGGTCATGATCCTTTGAAAATCGGTGTTGGCATGACTCTGAGTTTCAAAGTACCCTATTCCATGACGTGGGTCAAGGCTATTGAAGCTGATAATTAATCTAGGCAAATTATGTCCACCTTAATTAATTTCCTTCTTGATTCAGTTAAAGACAAATCATCTACGTCGAGACTAGTGTGTTTTGCCTGAACCTAAAAGACATTTCCGTTTTAACTGCTCCATCGCTTGTAGCTGAAATGTTTCGGTTTTTTCCGTTACAATCTAGGCTCCATTGATTGTACATAAAAATCTGTTAGCTAAAATTCCACAACAACTGTATTGTAATTCGAATGATTTTTACTATCTAAATGAAAATTTCATTTTTCAGCATGTACAGGTTGGTTGATTAACTTTATCAAGACAACAGAAAATTGAACACACATATTTTAAACACGGCCATCAAAATTGAACACGCGTATTTTGAACACGCGCCACCAGTGCAAAAGCAAAGATTTAGCATTACAAAATAAGGCTAATGTAACATTTCTTTTTCAGGAATAACAGCACATATAACCTCCATATAAGTTCCATTTCTCAACATAACATGTACTCAATCTTACAAGAACTGAATTGAACTATAACGAAATCAACATCGTATTAAGCTTTAAACAACAAAACAAAACAACTAACATATAGTTCCACATCACCATCGTTTTCAATTTCATCTCTCGTCATCCATGGCTAAAAGTTCACTATGCAACTTCTGTAGGGAAAGAGCAAGATGGTCATGCTTCCTTTTTGAATTTTGTCCTTCTTCAAGAACTCTTAAAAACTCCACCATCAAATTGTTTCCCATCAAAGTAGAAGAAATTTGGGTGTTTTATTGTTTCACATCAAACTGTTTCTCATCATGTGAAGCCTGGTCCTTTGCAAATATTGTCCATCTTCGAAGCACATACTTTTGAGGGAGATTATCAACAAGAGATTTTTTAACAAAAACTGCAAGAGCATGCATACAAAGAATTCCGACAAATTCAAACATTTTGCACGAACAAGCTGCCTTTTTTTCAAAAACATCCAACACCAAGTGATATACTGGATCTTCTTTCCTGCTTGTCACCACCCTATATGCTTTCATTGTTCCTTCCTCGTGATATTTAGAAGCCTTAAACTTTTGACTTTAAAACAACTCCACTTGGAACAACAAAAGTAATTTCCTAGTATAAACTTTTGCCACTTCAGCCTCCATGTTGTAGCATGTTTTCAGAATTGCTTTTGTGGTTCTCGTTTTCACATCTTCATCCTTCTCACTTTGATAGCTTTTGTCCACTGCTTTCTCATATTGGTAAACAAAATCACTTGCCAATGTGCTAGAATGAACAAAATCTTTGAAGAATTTGTCTATACTCTCACTTCTTTGTGTTGTCGACATCCCAGCACAAAA